AGCGCTTCGTGGCCTCATAAGGGGGCTCCACCGAAGGCCCGCCCCAGTGGCGCAGTTCGCATGCGGTTCCCCCACCCAAGGCAGCGCTTCGTGGCTCCATCGGGAGCTCCACCGAAGGCCCCAATTGCTGCTCTCGCATGCGCTTCTCCCTACCCAGGGCAACGCTTCGTGGCCCCATAGGGAACTCCACCGAAGGCCCCAGTGGCTGCTCTCGCATGCGGTCCCCCCGCCCAGGGCAGCGTTTCGTGGCCCCATAGTGAGCTCCACCGAAGGCCCCAGTGGCGCAGTTCGCATGCGGTTCCCCCACCCAGGGCAGCGTTTCGTGGCTCCATCGGGAGCTCCACTGGAGGCGTTGGCGGGGGTGTTCGCACGCGTCTTCCCCGCCCAGGACAGCGCTTCGTGCTTCCATCGGGAGCTTGACCGAAGGCCCCAGTGGCGCAGTTCGCATGCGGTTTCCCCGCCCAGGGCAGCGCTTCGTGGCCCCATAGGGAGCTCCACCGAGGGCCCCAGTGGCTGCTTTCGCATGCGGTTCCCCCACCCAGGGCAGGGCTTCGTGGCCCCATAGGGAGCTCCACCACAGGCCCCAGTGGCGCAGTTCGCATGCGGTTCCCCCACCCAGGGCAGCGTTTCGTGGCCCCATAGGGAGCTCCACCGAAGGCCCCCGTGGGGGTGTTCGCGTGCGGTTCCCCCACCCAGGGCAGCGCTTCGTGGCCCCATAGGGAGCTCCACCGAAGGCCCCAGTGGCGCAGTTCGCATGCGGTTCCCCCGCCCAGGGCAGCGCTTCGTGGCCCCATCGGGGGCTCCACCGAAGGCCCGCCCCAGTGGCGCAGTTCGCATGCGGTTCCCCCACCCAAGGCAGCGCTTCGTGGCCCCATAGGAAGCCCCACGGAAAGCGGCACCCACAACGCGTTACGAACAATTGCTTATGGTTGGGTCCTTCGCCAGGATAATTTTAGTCATTGCGTTCACGCGATCCACAACAACCTCCTCCTCCTCCTCCTCCCCTGCGTCCTCCTCCTCCAGGCCTCCTCTTCCTTCTCCTCGTCCTCCTCCTCCTCCTCCTCCTCCTTTTCCTCCTCCTCCTCCTCCTCCTCCTCCTCCTCCTCCTCCTCCTCCTCCTCCTCCTCCTCCTCCTTTGTACCCCCACCCGTGAGGCTCGCGAGGGGAGAGGGCGCGCGCGAGAAGCGCAGCGTGCGCAGGTGGCTGGACGGCTACGGGGACGTATACCGGGGGGACTTGAAGGACCTCCTCGGGGCAAGCGGAGGAGGAGGAGAAGGAGGAGGAGGAGGTGGAGGAAGAAGGCTGTGATCAATTTGTTCGTAATCGTGGTGTTGAGGATGAAGGAGGAGGATGAGGAGGCTGGTGACCAATTTGTTCGTAACATGGATGAGGAGGAGGATCAGGAGGAGGATGAGGAGGAGGGGGGAGGAGGAGGAGGAGGAGGACGAGGACGAGGAGGAGGAAGACGTTGCGGAGGAAAGGGAGCAACAGGTCAACGATTAAGGAAGGGACAGGAGTAGGGCGGACGAGGATATTTTTTTGCCTATGTTTTGCTGCTGCCGCCTATGCTTTGCTGCTGCCTGAAGGCCACATTATCCTTGCGAATAGGCGCGGCACGGTCATCCGTCACTTGTTCTTTGCCTCTCCCTATATATATATATATATATATATATATGTATGTGTGTGTGTGTTTGTATGGAGTCTCTCTCTCTCTCTCGCTGTATATGCGTCCGCCCCGCCGCACCAGTAACGACCTTCCCCAAGCAGTGCGCCAAGCCCCTCCTGCTGATTTGTAGCACGCTATGTTGGCATATGTTGTTGTTCCCCCTGGCGCCCACCCTTGATGCACCGACTCTGAGGACCTCTCCGCCCTCCCTCCTCTCCTAACATCTGACGCATCTCACACTGCATGTTCCTCAGACACCAGACTCCTGAGGCCACGGCCTCGCCCACCTGGTCTTAGCGAGGCCCCGACGGCATCCGCAGCGGTGGTCGTACCGTGCCGTGTCGTGTCGCGGGCGCCCCGTGCTGGCCGGCACTGCCCTGTGTTCTCCAGGTGCCCGCCGGGGGGCGCCGTGCGTGTGTGGCCCCTGCGCCTTCGCCCTCCCGTGGCCTCGACGTGAGGCCCCTCCTTCTGCCTTCCCCCCTCTGTCAATTGAAGCTGTGCGCGGCCCGCTTAGCTTAGGAGGAGGAGGAGGAGGAGGAGGAGGAGGAGGAGGAGGAGGAGGAGGAGGAGGAGGAGGAGGAGGAGGAAGGGGGGGAGGAGGTCCTCCTCGACCGGACGAGGCTCGCTCTCGACCCGCGGATCAGAAAAGTGTGTGGCCCCTGGCGGGCGCTGCCTGCCCTGGCGGGCGCTGCCTGCCCTGGGCTGCCTCTGTCAATTGAAGCTGCGCGCGGCCCGCTTACAGTCGGGGCCCTGAAGAAGGAACCCTTTTCGTTGGGGAGGGGCTCCGCGTTCCTTAAGTGTTTCACAGCTTGCCTCAGGTTTTCCTGAGGTTTTCGACAGGAGATCCAAGGTTAATTCATGGAAAAAAGGTGCCTCGTTCCTTATTTTGGGTTCCTTAGGTCAACGACCCGTCTGCTTCGACCGGAAGAGGCTCGCTCTCGAGCCGCGGATCATGTGGCCTCTGCGGGCGCTGCCTGCCCTGGGCTGCACCTCCTGGCGCTCGCTCGTGGAGCCCGCCTGCGGTCCGCCTCGTGGGCGCCGCCTCGTGCGCTGGCCCGTGCTGCAATCAGGAGGAGAAAAACACACAGACACAATGAATCGTCGATTCCCCAGAAAATATAAGAAAATATGGGAAGTGGGGGGTAAGACAAACACCCAGAAGATACGGGATAATATGGGGGATCTTTTTATTTGTGTGTATTCATTTGTGTCACAGGGCCCCTTCATTCAGGAGGCTCCGCTTCCGCCCCGCCGATTCCCCCTCGGGAGGCCGGCGGCGTCGGACGTGTTCGGGGCCTGGTCGGGGCGTGGTCGGGGGCGCGGTCGAGGCGGGGGGGGGGGGCCCGGCGAGGGTTCTGTGGAGTTGGGGGGCCCGAAGAACTTGTGCCCGGAGACTCACGAGGCTGGCGGTGTCAGACGTGGTCGGGGCGTGGTCGGGGCGGGGTCGAGGCGTGGTCGGGGCGCGGTCGAGGCGGGGGGGGGGGGCCCGGCGAGGGTTCTGTGGAGTTGGGGGGCCCGAAGAACTTGTGCCCGGAGACTCACGAGGCTGGCGGTGTCAGACGTGGTCGGGGCGTGGTCGGGGCGTGGTCGGGGCGCGGTCGAGGCGGGGGGGGGGGGGCCCGGCGAGGTTTCTGTGGAGTTGGGGGCCCGAAAAACTGGTGCCTGGAGATTCACGAGGCTGGCGGTGTCAGACGTGGTCGGGGCGTGGTCGGGGCGTGGTCGGGGGAAACGTGAGATTCGGGTTTGCCGACGTTTTTTTGACGAGCGCAACCTCCACTTTGACGGTCCAGTTTGCGTGGGATGCTTGCAGCGGGAGTTCGCGTCCACATTAAGATTGGGCCCCGTCATTTTTATGATGGTCCCCGTCAGGGCAACCCGCTTCCCCCGTACCCGAGTCGCACGTCTCCCCCAATTGGGACCGAGCCAGTTGCCGAGGCCAGACTTAGGGGGCCCCCGCTGCGTATTGATTGTTTCCACTCTCCGCGATCGCTCACCCCAGAGATCGAATAATGCCATACCAGACAACCCCGTCAGCGACGCCCCCCCCTTCGTTCGCTACACGACAAAACTATGCCCCGTACGCGTCTAGATACAAGAAGGGCGCAAGCCCTTGCGAATGATAGCATGCGGGGCACTTGCGCGCGTCACCGTCGTCGTCGTCGTCGTCGTCGTCGTTGTCGATGTCGCCGTCGATGTCGCCGACCTCCTTAAAGTTCTACGCGCACGCACTCCGTCACCATCCTCACCAGCACCATCCTGATCATCGCTGCTATCGTCATTATCGTCACCATCGGCTGCATTACCATCACCATCGTCGTCGCCCACATCGTCCCCACTGTCGCTACGAACATCATCATCATCATCATCATCATCATCATCATCATCATCATCACCACCACCATCATCATCATCATCATCGTCATCGTGATCGCCATCGTCGTTGTCGTCACCCAGTTGCGTTAACCGACCACGGGCGAGAAAAGCCTACCCCCCCTTAAGGGTCTCTATTTTTATGGTCCCCGTTCAACAGGATTCAATTGTGGAGAAGGGCGCGGAGGCCGAACTTTCTCATCCACGGAGGGAGTTGCCTATCGAAGTTGCTATCATCTCATGTTGACTAGCAGCAGCATCAAAACGCTGAGCATGGCCATGGTGGTCTCACCACATCAGCTTCCGCAGTCACGAGCGTGTGACAGGGCTGTTGGATTCTCACCAGCTCAGTTTGCCCAAGTCACGAACGTGCGGCAGGGCCATGGGATTCTCACTTTCTCAGCCGTTCCAGAGTCAGGAACGTGTGGCAGGGCCATGGGCCATGGCTATCATCATCATCATAGCTTATACTCCCCGGGGAAATCTTGTTTTATCCCCGCCAGACCACCGAACTTTATCATCCCCCGGTGATTATTATCGCTCGTGGTGGGTAAGTCAACAAGTTGCGGACGCGTGGGTGGGATGTTCGCACGAGCATATGTTGTGGTCACGCGCGGATGTAGTCAAATTTCATTGCACCACATGGATTGCACAACCTAGGCCACATCACGGAATGCACGTCGAGAGAGTAAGAACCTATGTTTTTTGGGTCCACAGTGGCAGATCTTGCGCGTATCCTGCAAATCAGAAAGCGGCTGTCAGGACTTGTGAGAGGCAGCAGGTTCACGCAGGAGTCCCCCGAATAGCCCAGAGAGCAAAATAGCTCGTTGGCCGCAATCCGACGATCTTTTTAAATCGACCCTAATTGACATTGCAGCTCAAACGAGCTGCGACTGTTCGTGGCGGAAGGCTTGTAGCGATCCCGTTATCAGTGAACATTTGGAGTTCATGGTGCCACGTGCGCCGTCGCCTCTTCGGCTGGTTGAGGAGGCCCTCGCCGCTTTTTTCAATGTCGCCCGCCAGAGTGTGGACGGGGGTACGGGTTCTCCTCGTCGTCGTCCTTCTTCGTGTCGCCCACACCTCGTGCGCACAGTCGCCGTTGCCCCCTCCTCGTGTTCCTTCTCGCCCCGCGGTGGGAGGGAGAGTGGAGTGGAGGCTGGGCAGCCACAGGCCGGCCAGAGACGTGGCCCTTTGCGGCGTTCTGCTGGCCCGGCGCGGGGCGCCAGCTGCCCAGGCGATGCCGGCCAGGCGAATCTGTCGGCACGCCTCTGGGCCTGCAGGTGCTTTTTTTGAAAGATTCGAGGAAGAAAAAAAGGCCATAGGCAGAAATCTGTGGCGCTCCTCGCGGACTTCTTAGATCCGCGCTTGGCCTCCCCAGCGGCGCCTCTGGCGCCGCCCATGGCGCGCTCCGCGCGCCAGGGAGGGGGGCTCAGCGCAGGTCCAAGAAATCCGCTCGAAGCGCCAAAAGTTTACGTTTATGGCGTTTCGTTCTTCTTCTAAAGATATCTCGCCGAGCAACGAGGCGCACCTCCTACTATAATGAGCCAGGCAGATTTCTGCGAGAAGCTTCGCCGCTCGGATGCGTTTGGCCACTCAGGGTAGGGGTCGGTGGGTTGGAGATGGATGCGAGCGCGAAGGGGAAGCAGTATGAGAGATGGGTGTGACGAGGAGGGGTCATTGTGGCAGTGGGGAGTGGAGGCACGCGTGGTGGCGCCAGCAACACTGGCAGAAGCAAGGGTGGCGCTGCAGGACGCCAACGGCGAACAGAGCAGCAGCAGAGCGCGAGGGGGGGACGAGTGGCGCGAGCCCGAAGGAGCCTTGGCGCGCACACGGCTCTCGGCCACCCCCTCTCCGCTCTTCTGCCGCGAGCACCTCTGCGATCGATTCCGATCCTCCTCCTCGTCCTCCTCCTCCTCCTCCTCCTCCTCCTCCCCCGTAGCCATTTTGGCTCAAGATGATGAGTTCCGCAGGGGAACAAGCGGATACCGCTAGTCCGCGGCTGGCAAGACTTCTTGAGGTCTGGCATCTTCTTCGGTCCACCTCACTTGCGCTCGGGTCGGCGGGTAAACGGAGGCCTTTCCCGTTCCTGCCGGCCCGAGCGCACCCAGATTCGTGGCCATGGGCCCTGCGAGGGACGGCACGCAGGCTGGCGACGGTGGTGCTGCTGGCGCTACTGGGCGGACTGGTGGCAGCGACAGGTCGTCGAGTCGGAGCGATGCATCGGACGCCGAGCGGTCTGCATCCCGTAGTGGAGAAGGAGCTCGGCGCCGCCGTCGCAGACAGCATAGAGAACGTGAGCGAGGGCGGGATCACCTACATGAGCGTGACCCATGGCGTCAAGGGAGTGGTCGTGGAGGCAGGAGCAGCACGGAGGGGGCTCGCCCACCTGGTGCAGATGCGGCTGCCCCTGCTGCGCCCGCGCCTGTGGGAGGAGGAGTTCCTGCACTGGCTTCCACCGCAGGGCTGCCCGCCAGCGTGGCGCAAGAGCTGGAGCGGATCCTGGTCGAGGCGACGGCCAACCTTAACGCGACGACGTCGGCGGCCCAGGCACAGATGGCCACGGTCGTCGCCACCCACGCCCAGGAGTGCTCGGCCCGCTTCGCTGTGGTCGACGCGGATGTCGCCCGCCTGCGGGAACGTCAGCACAGGCTCGAGGCGTCCAACGAGGAGCTGCGCGGCGCTGTTCAGAGCATCACGGAGGCCCTGGAACGCGCGGAGGCTCAGGTACCACTATTTCAGGCAGCGAGGCAGGAGATGTGGGACAGACCCGCGGCTCCGAACCTCTTCCAGATCCAGGTCGAGTCGGGCGTCACGAGCGCGGAGATCATCGTTGGTATTGAGGACTGGCTCAAGGCTGCCATGGTGTCGAGTGGTCAGTACGCGCTCCACTCCCTCCCTTCTGGGAAACACTACGTGCTGGAGCTCACGGGCGGCGTGGTGGGCTACGAGCGCGCCAAGAGGCTGGCCGCGCACCTCCGCACGCCGAGCGGCTGGAGGAGCTTCACGGCCGGCGGCCGCAGGATGTACATCAACATGGACAAGTCCAAGCGCTCCCTGCGGGTGGAGCTGCACACCAAGCGCCTTGGCCAGGCTCTGGAGGAAGTACGTGGAGGTGCTGGGCGCTGGTGGCCAAACAAAGCGAAGGGGGAGGTCAAGTTTGACAACGTTGAAGTGGCCAGCGTTCTGGTCACGGAGGAGGATGCCCCCACGGAGCTGCGCTGGAACAATCCGATGGTGGCAAAGTTGGGCATTGACAAGAGCAAAGTGCAGGAGGTGTTCAATCGCATGGTCGGCGGTGGGTCCAGAGAGGTACAGTGGTGTCCCTAACACTTGCTCGGCGCGTTGGCGCCCGTGGCAGTACCAATATGATGAAGTGTTCAACAGTCCTTTGAAGGTCATCTCGTGGAATGCACGCGGTCTGCTTCTACGGGATCCTACGCGTAGACGTCGCAAGTTGGCAATCTTGCGGTCATAGATGGCGAAGAAGTATGTGATTTTGGTGCAGGAGACGCACGGTGCGGCGGTCATTTTGGAGGCGTTTGTGCGCTCGCAGCCCTTCTCTTACAAGTCCCACTTCTCTGCTCTCCGCGACGGGCGTGGGGGCGGCGTGGCTACGTTGATCCCATCTTCAGAGCTGCATGAATGGGAGGAGCTGCATCCATCGTGGCGCCCAGTCTCGACGACTACGGAGCTGGTTCCTGGACGAGTGCTAATGGTGAAGGTCAGTGTGGTGGTGCGGAAGCCTGACTCGGTGACGCACCTGCCTGCAGAGGATGACGAGCGCCGTGTCGGAGTCACCCTCATCAACGTGCACAACCACGACCTCAGCGCTGAGGACAAGTCGAGAGTGGCGACAGCATGGCGGAGGGCGATGAGGGAGGCGCGCAGGTCCCCAATGCAGGAGCTCTGCGTTGCTGGCGGCGACTTCAACCTACCAGTGGGTGATCGGCGCTACTATCGCATGCCGACGCCGACGGCGATGAGGTCCCCCGTGCGTGACCACCAGGCCAGATCCTTCTGGCGTGACCTCTTCGATGAGTGCGTGGAGATCAACGGCAAGGACGCCGCGCACTATGACAGGCACTCGGACTCCGCCTCCACGCTGGATCGCTTCTTCACCAGCCTGCCGAGGGACGCGTATCCCTGCCTCCGTGCTACCCGCACGGTCGACGCGGACCCTGCGACGCTGGCGCTGCGCAGGCTGAGTGATCACGGAGTTGTGGGGCTCGTGCTGGGTCTCCGCAAAGAAAGGCCGATGGCGGAGAGGAGGATCCCCGCCTTTGTTTTCAAATCGCAACAGTATCCAAAGTATTTCAAGGATCTGCACGCTGCCGAACAGGAATTGCTTCGCAGTCGGGGAACTGATGGAGATGTTCATGAGGAGTGGGCTGCTGCCAAGCGGGCCATGGTCTCGGCGGCGAAGGCCACGAGGAACCACATGATTGCGCTCGCCGACCTGCAGAACGTCTCGCAGGGCGCGGAGCTCAACGCCCTGGTGATGCGCTCGGCGGCCAGGACGATCTGGACGAACGACGGCACCACGGCGCGCCTGCTGACCCAGTCCTCTCCTCTGGCTCGGAGGCACCTGCGCATCCAAGATGGCAAGGTGCTGGCGAGCGACACCCTGGTTTTCGGGGAAGTCGTGCGTGCCACCACGGAGCGTATGCTGGATGAGCGACGTCAGGACGCTGCGAGACGTGCCCGCCGCGCCTTTGCGACGGCGCAGGCTCAGGAGGGTGAGTACTGGAAGCGGAAGCAGGGCAGTATAGTGAAGAAGGCCCAGCTGTGGCTCCGCAAGCTGCCCGTTTGGCAGCTGAGCGGCGTCAAGGTGTGTGCGACGGAAGAGCTCCCTGCCCCGCCTGTGACGGGGAGCGTCTCCGAGCGGCCTTCTGATGTCACGGTGAAGAACGCCGACGCTATGCTGGCCGCAGTGCGCGAGCACTGGGGCCCCATCTTCAGTAAGAAAGACATCGACGAGGAGGCGGCGAGGGAGTGCATCGAGCGGTGGTTCGAGCCCGCTAGTGCACGTGAGGACTTTGCATTCAGCGAGGAGGATCTACTACGAGCAGCTCAGCGTGGACGTGAGGTGGCTCCTGGACCTGACAGGCTGCCCTACGTCGCCTGGGCGCGGTCGCCCGCAGCGGTGGCCTGGCTGTACCGGCTGTGCCAGGAGGCGCTTGCGGGGCTGGGCTTCCCCGACGACTTCAACCACGGGCTGCTGGTCCTGATCCCGAAGAGTGGGGAGGCGTACAGCGCGTCGGAGGTGGTGCGTCGGCCTGGTGCGCTTAGGCCGCTCATGCTGCTCAACACGGACAGGAAGATGATCGCGACCGTGGTCAACCATGAACTAGCTGGAGTGGCGAGGAAGGAGGCATCGGCGGTCCAGCATGGGTTCGTCCGTGGCAGGACGTTCATTCCGAACATCATCAAGCTGGACCTGATGGCGCGCACATTCAGTGCGCTCAGTGAGACGGAAGGAGGGCACCCTGCGCTGATCACGTTCGACGTAAAGGCGGCGTTCCCCAGCGTCAGCCGCCTCTGGATGGCGCTGGTCCTGGACAAGTGCGGCCTCTGCGACTCCGTGAGGACCCTGATCGGCGCCATGTACGACAAGCAGACGGCATGGCTGCGGGTAGGCGAGGACTTGCTGGAGGCTTTCGCGGTCACAGCAGGTGTGGCGCAAGGCTGTCCGATGTCGGGCTCACTTTGGGCGTTGCTCTTCTCGCCTTTCCTTGAGCACATGGCCTCCGTCCTGGACATGCCGTGGCGGCAGGAATCCTGGAAGCCAGAGCTGCCCATAGTGCAACGCAAGGGCGACGTGGAGGGCTGCGCAGATGACGTGGGGATGGTGCTCCGCGACCTGTCCCTGCTGCCGCAGATCGGCCCGATCTTCAAAGCGATGCAGATGCTGGCGTGCCTGGAGCTCAACCTGTCCAAATGCTTCCTGGTGCCGCTCTGGGCGCCGATTACGGAGGAGATCGTGGTCTTCGTGAAGAGCGTGCTCGAGGCGAGCATCGCGGGCTGGTCAGGCTTCTCGGTCGCCTCCATGACGAAGTACTTGGGCTGCTGGCTGGGGCCTGGCGCCGACCTCGCCAGACAGTGGCACGACCCTGGGGCCAAGTATGCGGCGAGGACGAGGGCGCTGGGTGCCAGTGCCCTTTCCAACGATGCAGTGGTCCAGGCGTACAATGGGCTAGCGATCCCGTGCCTGCTCTATGTCGCCATGCTCTTCCCGATCCCCGACGGACTCGTGGACAAGGAGCTGGACTTGCTGCACGTGCTGCTGCGCGTGCCACCGAAGTCGTTCAGGAAGGACTGCCTCCTGGCGCTGGGCTCCTCCCTGGACGTCACGGCGCCACTCTCCCTCTTCGCTTCGGCGATGGCTGCGAGGCTGAGGGCGGCGATCAAGCTGCCGACGGAGTGGCTCGCCCTTCTCGAGGGCGTCGAGGACTTCTTCACTGACGTGCGGGGCGAGGCGCTGTGCAGGCTTGCGGACCTGCCGACGGGCCTCTTCGCGCCGGCGTGGTGGCAGGACCGCCGTGGGCCTGCGCGCCACCTCAGGGACGCCATGAGGTGCTGTACGCCGACCAGCAGGCCCAGGAACCGCCATCGGACAGAGGCCTGTCTGCGCGCCGCGAAGAGGCGCGCGCTGGCAGCGGAGGCTGCGTGGCTGGCGCAGCCCCATCGTGAGAGGAGGAAAAAGCGTTTTTCTTTCCAGTCCACGTATCGCGCCATCCTCTCTTCCCTCCTCCATATTGATTCCTTTCCTGTCACATTCAGGAAAAGGTTGGCCGTGTGGCAGGTGCGTGCGCCCGCCACACGTGTGTTGGCGCTGAGATGGGAGGCGCTTAAGCGCGTCCTTCGTAATAAAGGGAGGGGGGTGAGGTGGGCGGTGATCAAAGTAATGTGCGGAGCATGGCCCACAGCGGCCAGAATGCATGTCACGAATGTCCGTTCGGCCCCGTGTAAATTCGGCTGTGAGAATGGGGCCGACAATATGTCACACTATTTGAGGTGTCGGCACCTGTGGTGGGCTGCCTGTTTTCCTCGGGAATTTTGTTCCAACTCTGTATTAATGAAGCTCTGTCTTGGGTCCTCGCGGGACCATGCCTCGACCCCCGATGACTCGCTCGATCGGTCGGTCTTGAGGCTTAGCCTGGCGCACCAGTTGCACGCTATCATCTCTGCGCATCCTGGTTCTGGGCCACAGCACTTACTTCGTTGCCTTGAAATTGCACGTGCGCGCACGGGTAGGTAGGCGACTCTTCCTCTGGAGCGACGTTCGCTCCTCCTCCTCCTCCTCCTCCTCCTCCTCCTCCTCCTCCTCCTCCTCCTCCTCCTCCTCCTCCTCCTCCTCCCCCCCCTCCTCCTCCTCGTCCTCCTCCTCCTCATCCTCATCCCCCTCCCCCTCCTCGTCCTCCTTCTCCCCTCCTCCTACTCCGACTCCATCTTGGAGGAACCCTGCTGGGTTGGAGGTTGCCACCTCCAACCCAGCAGGGTCCACTTCATTCCGATCGATCCGGTTCGATATCGATTACGGTTGGCCCGATGGTTCGATCCGATTCTGGTGTTCCAGCGATCCGGCGCGGCCTGGTGTTCGCATGGCGGCGTCGTGCATCATGACGTTGCCGATCCGATTCGAGTTCGGCTCCGTGCCGATGCATCCTGATCCGACGTACACTGCGATTTGATGCTGACTGATCTTGATCCAATGGCGAACCCGCAACGACACCTGAACGTCTCGCTCCACCACCCGCCTCCTCCCCGCGGGCGACTTATGTGCACCGCACCGCGTTGCCGTTCCCCGAGGCGTCATCGAGCCTCGACCTGGGAGCGGGTGCACTGCATAGTTGCTCGGCCTTCAGAGCCGGAGAACTACGGCGGGGCCGTTCGTTAAGGAATGTGCCCAGGAGGCGTCAGACCTTGGAGGACTTCTTCTCTCATGAGGGCCTCGGTGGGTTCCATGGTCAGGCCTCAACGCGTGCTCCACCGGCTTCCAGAGCCTGGATTCCTGTCGGGAGTCTTGAGATGGGGGTCAATTCAGACGGGGGTCAGCCACGGCACCGGATTCTGCAGGATCCTGCGAAGACCCCCTCTGGCTGACCCGGGTTAGCGAGCCGCTCGAGGCCGCGCGGCGGCCGCACATGTATGCTGACCCGGGTTTGCGAAGACCTGCGTTGCAGTTTTTTTCCTGCATCACAGCTTTTGGTTTCCTGCAGACCCGGGTCTGGATTGACCTGGGTCAGAAGATCCCCAATCCTGATCCGACGGTTCCCCACCCAATGCCCTCGCCGTATGCAACGTGCCGCGCTGGAGCGGGGTTGGCAGGAGTCTTGGACCGGGCGAAAGGGGGGGATTGGGAAAGGGGGGGTGACGAAATTTGCTGCATGCAGCTGATTTCAGCCTCACCGAGGGGCCCATTCCTCGATACCTGGTCGCCTCCCGGCGCCGGGAGGCGCCAGGAAAATCAGCTACGCGAGCTGATTCTCAACCCCCCCCTTTGCTACCCCCCCCTTTCGCCCGACCCGAGAGACCACTGCATGGTGTGGTGCCCGGGCGCCGTCCTCGGGCGACGAGGCCTGCGCTCCTCCGCCGCCCCCGGCCAGGCCCACCCTGGGCTCTGCAGCGCTGCGCGTGCCCCCCCCTGGCCAAGCCGGGAGGCGCGGGCAGTGCTCCGGGGCCCAGGAGAGGAGGAGGAGGAGGAGGAGGAGGAGGAGGAGGAGGAGGAGGAGGAGGAGGAGGAGGAGGAGGAGGAGAGGAGGAGGAGGAGAGGAGGAGGAGGAGGAGGAGAGATGGAGGAGGAGGAGAAGAAGGGACAGAAGGGGAGGCAGAGGAGGAGCAGAAGAGGGCAGGAGGAGAAGGGTAGGAGGAGGAGGAGGAGGAGGAGGGGGAGGAGGAGCAGGAGGAGGAGGAGGAGGATCTGGACGCCCGAAATGGGTACGGAAAGGATGGGTACACCGCCCAACAGCAATTTCTGTTCATTTGAACATGGCTCGCTGTCCGCGCCGCCGCGGCCATTGTCCACTTGAGACAGAAGGCCGCCTGCCCAACAGCGGCCGCTGTTGGTTTGGGACAACATTTGTTGTTGGGCATTGTACCCATTCTTTCAGTACCCATTTCGGGTGTCCAAACAGGAGGGAGGTGCGGCCAGGGGCCGTGCGCAGAGGTGCGGCCGTGCGGCCGAGGCTGCTGCGGAGCTGCACGGGCGTGTGCGTGCGACTGTGCGGCCTGTGCGTGCACGTGCTTGGGCCTCGGACCGAAGGCGAGCCCCGTGGGAGTGAGCACCAGAGGAGTGAGCCCAGCGCGTGCACGGATCTCGTCGCCCTGCAGTCTATCGGCCTCCGCCTCGGGAGTGCCCGCTCCCCCGCCCGCGCGCTGCCCCCGCCTCCCGCCCTTCGGCGTCTCGCTCCCTGGCGCGCCGCCGGGCCGCCCCTCGTGCGGGGTCGCGCTCGGGGCCCAGACCCCCGACGTAATGATTTTTTCATTACGTCGACCCCCAGAGGTCCCGACCCTTTCCCCATGACCGGTTTCTCGTCCTGAGTCGTTTTTTGACTCTCCCGAGGCCCGGTGAGGGCCCCCTGAGGCCGAAAATTAGGAAAAACCTCCCGTCATTACTCGAGGGGGTCTGGGGGGGGGAGCCCGTCCAGGGGCACTGGCGGGCGTGCGTGCTGCAAGGGAGGGGGTGGCGCCGCGCCCCTTCGGATCGAGCAGGCGGATTCACGGGCCCGAGCGCGGGTCCATCCGCGAGCGGCGGGCCCCGTCGCCACACGAAGGCGACGCACTGCGGCGCCCATGGGGGCGGCGCTGGCTTGGCATCGCTCGGACGTGTGCGTTTTTCCTTCGGCGAGGACCGTCGAGGAGCATCCTTGATCATTTGGCGAAACAACCACGCCCGAAAGCGAAAAAAGCACAGGGCATGGACGTCCGAGCGATGGCCAGCTGGCGCCATGCCTCGGGGCTGGGCATTTCCCCCCAGCCGTGGACCTGGCGCCAGCGCGCCAGATCCACCGACTCCTGCGCCATGTTGGCGCGTGCCCGATCGGAGGCGACGGCGAGGATCCTACAGCGGAATCGGGGGTGGACAGACCTCCTACCCTGACACGTCGATTCAGGAATTGGCCGTTTTCGGTTCGCGAGAGGGCGTCGCGGCCGTCATTTTTGCGGGTCCAGGTCCGTCGGTTTCGGCTCTAGGTCGTTTTCACTAAGGGGAGGTTTACTAAAGGGAGGTTTGTCCACCGCCGATGGAAACCCATGGCAGGAAGCATCCTGCGTGCCTCCAGGGTGCCCCGGGTTTCTTGGGCCCCGATGGAATCACTGGACACCCTGAGGTCTGAGGATTGGGTTGCTTGTGAAAGGTTTCTTGTGGTCGAGCTCCTACTGTACCTCCTCGCTTCGGGAACGAAGGTGAGGGGTGCAAGGGGCGGGGAGGGCCGCGCGCAGCGTCACATGAGGGAGGAGCCCCGCCGAGGAGAATGGAGGGGGAGGGGGGGGGGAGAGGGCGAGAAGGAGGGGAGAAGGGGGAACAAGGAGTGGGCGACGAGACGGAGGAGGAGGAAGAGGAGGAGGAGGAGGAGGAGGAGGAGGAGGAGGAGGAGGAGGAGGAGGAGGAGGACGAGGAGGAGTGGGACAGGAATCAGGAGGCAGGTGGAGGCAGTGAAACTGGGGAGGCGTGAGGACGATGAGGTAAGGCAGAGACAAGACTGAGGATGAGGATTTAGGAGGAGGATGAGATCATAAGAAGTTCATGAAGAGGATCATGCGGAGATGGTGGGTGGATAATTAGTTGGATGAGGGAAGGAGGATACGCAAGGAGGTGGGAAAGAGGAGGAGGAGGAGGAGGAGGAGGAGGAGGAGGAGGAGCAGGAGGAGGTGACAATGTGCTGGAACGGGAGGAGGAGGAGGAGGAGGAGGAGGAGGAGGAGGAGGAGGAGGAGGAGGAGGAGGAGGAGCAGGGGAAGGAGGAGGAGGGGGAGCAGGAGGAGGAGGAGGAGGAGGAATGGGAGTAGGAGGAGCAGCAGGAGGAGGTTCATGTGAGGGGGAGAAGGACCAGGCGAGATCGTGCTCCGAGGCAGCACATTCAGGGCTGGCACGAGCCTGGCAGCGGCGGCTGGTTGCAGGCGCACGGGTCAGGCTGGCGACCGCCGCGCCGCAGACTTCTGCCTCTCTTCTTTTCTCTCTCCTTCTCCCTCTCTTTCTTGCTCCCTGTCTCTTGCTCCCTGCCGCCTCTCGCGGATCCTGCGTCGGAGGGGCCTCTCCTGAAGGTTTACCCGGTGCCGGAGGACGCGGGCTGTGCTCGCTCTCCAGGTGTCTTCTGCGTCGGAGCCGCAGGCTGCGATGCTCCCACTGCTGCTCACGAACGATGTCCTCAAGCGACAGTGCTACAGGGCCCTGCAGGTTCCGACGGCCGCTCCCCTCCAGCTATCATAGAGGGTGGACGCTGGCATCTAACGCCGCGAGCCATGGTCGGGAACTTCGGCCGTGTCTCTCCGCCGCTTCTCGTCCCGGCGCGACGTGCCAGCCACGTCCCAGCTTCCAGGCGTGCTTCTCCTGGCCTGCCGCCCCGCGGAGCAGAGCGACGGGCTATCCTCTCGCAGGGCATCGCGTGTCGCCACCAGGGCCGCTGGCACGACACGCTGAGCAAGAGCCCCTGACCGACAATCCGGTGTATGGGACAATGCGTCAAATTGGTTAGCGGGATGTCCTCACATTCCGGGTGCTGTTGGTGTCCGCGCTTCTGGTTGCTATGATCCCATTGTTGTTCACGAGCACGTCCTCAAGCAAAGAGCAAGGATCTTGCAGTTTCCGATGGCCTCTCTTCTCCAGTAACCGTCATTCAAGACGTATGTTGACCTGAAGCAGCTGGGCATCCTTGTGGACGCTACGCGCTACGGGGCGGCTATTCGAGTGGGCCATTCGCTCAGCGATTCTGGGTTACGATTTGCGTCTGCCCACCGAGAGACAGACGCCAGTATGGACATTGCCGAGGAGATGGTGGCGGTTTGTTTCCGCGTTACCCTCTACAATTGGTATTTCGTTGTTCTGGCTTGCGTCCATGACGTTATTGTCACGACAATTCCATGATCTTCAATCCTCCACATCCATGTGCAGGCACACGCCCGCTTTGCACACCAGCGCGCCAGGGGAATTGTCAGCTGCCCCGGATGGTGTGCGATACGACATGTTCTTTGTGCTTACATCGGGTCGCTATGACCAATATCCGGGCCAGGTGTGTCATTGGTTGCTTGAGCATATGTCTTTCACAGCAGGAAAGGATGCAGGGAATGCCCTTGCTTCGTGAGCCATGCGTCTTTGGCTACACGGCCTGCACTCCCTGGATTTCGAATTCCACTACGCATCCCTCCATTTATCCAGTTACGTTCCTAGCCATTGTTGGAGATCTTGTGCAGGCAGCCAGGGCTCGTCAACGCATGAATTTGGACTGGGACTCATTGTCGGCAACGTGTGGCGTGAGATGGGGGTCACACGCTTCCAGGTTGCAAGGGCCTGGCTGGAATGTCCAGTGCAAATTTGTCATGGGTATTTCGCCCATCTACCCTTTCTCTTCCTCCTTCCAAGATGTTACCACCTTAGTGGGCCCTGGAAACGACAGGGCCGTTTTTTTTTTTACCGATTCCGTTTTGCAGTTTTTTTGTCGGTTCCGACGCCGTTTTTTAGCGGTTCCGTCGCCATTCTTTTACGGGTTCCCGCTCCGGTTCCAATCCTGGAGCCGTTTCTGTTGCCGTTTCCGGTCGCCGTTTTTGTTGCCGTTTCCATTTTCAAGGGGCATTTTTCGAAGCGGTGAATTACCAGCCTGGAACATATCCCTATCCCTATGCTGGGCACCTCCTCATCACGATGCCAATCTTAGGGATTCCCTTATTTTTGAGGGCGAACCCCTAAGATTGTCATCGCCTTTTGGCGTGCCAATCCTAGGGATAGGGATACGTTCGAGGCTGATAAGTGAAAAACGGCCCTGGCGTTTCCCGGGCCCACGAAGGCCACCACACCGTGGTCTGCCCTGCGCCCTCGGCAGCCCTCCAGCCCCCTCCCTGCTCTTCCCGTGCCCGGCCTGTCTCCGCTTCCGTATGACTTGCTCCTTCTCTTTTTCGTCCTCCTCTGCTTCGTCCTCCTCCTCCCCCTCCTCTGTTTCGTCTTCCTTTGCCTCGTCCTCCTCCTCCTCCTCCTCCTCCTCATTATCACCATCATCATCATCATCATCATCATCATCATCATCATCATCATCATCATCATTATCATTATCATTATCATTATCATTATCATCAACATCATCCTCATCATCATCATCATCATCATCAACATCAACATCATCATCATCGTCATCGTCATCGTCGTCATCATCCTCCTTCTTCTCATTCGCTCCGTCTTCCGTCCCGTCCACCTCGTGTTCCTCCCCCTCCTCTCGGGGGGGGGGGACAGAACCCCCAACAGTGACACGTCGATTAGTGAATTGTCCGTTTTCGGTTCTCGAGAGGGCGCCGCGGCCGTTATTTTCCAGGCTTGCGCCCGCCAGGTTTGGGCCCCAGGTCGTTTTCACTAAACCACGTTTTACTAAAGGGAGGTCTGTCCATCCCCGATCCTGCGCTTCCTCATTACCATGTTCGCTCCCCGCCTGTACCCATCTTCTCTTTCGCTCACTCCACTGCTCCTGCGTCCCCTCCTCCTGCTTTTCCTCCTCCTCCTCCTCCAGCAGTCCCACATGGCGGCGAGGGGGAAGCAGCACGCGCGGCGCTGGGAGTGCAAGTCGTGTGTCAATGACCGCACGGGGATGCATGGTGGAATTATCCTGACGCCAAGAAGTGTGCATTATGTTCGATGTGGGAGTCGTCCTGCATCAAGTGCCACGTGGAGCCGCCCGTTCCTTCCTTTCGCAAAGGGGGGGCCCTCCGTGGCAGAAGGGCAAGGACTACAAGGATGCGATTGCGAAGATCAAGGAGCTTGACTCAGAGGTCAAGCGGCTCAAGACGCATGGGGCTGCGGCGGCCCCTACGTCGGATGCGGCCGCCACGGCCGTGGACTCGCAGGGCTCTGGCGCCGAGGCGGTGGGCGAGGGCCTCAGCGAGGCCGAGACCACCGAGCTGCGGCGCAGGCCCAAGTCGATTGATGAGCAGCTGGCGGTGCTTGGCAAGTTCGTCAGCGATGGGAAGTGCGCGACCTACTTGCAGGGATTGCGCGCGGAGAAGGAGATCATACACCAGCAGTTGCAGGCAGGCCCATGTACGCGCAGCTGCAGACGTTGTCGGTGCGGCTCGAATCTGGTCAGCAGAAGTTGGACAAGATGCGCGATCGCACCGCCGCGCTGCATGACCATAGGAAGAAGCTGGAGGAGCAGCTTTTGGTGGCCGAGGCGGAGATGCAGACCCAGGGGGGCGAGGTCGTGGCGCTGGGCTTGCAGATGCAGGGGCTGTCGGCCAGGTGCGGGGGCGCCCCGCAAAAGGCGGAGCTCGGCGAGAAGGTGCCTGGCATGGCGATCGACGCCGAGGCGCTGGGCAGGCTGCTCTCGCAGCATGGTGTGGCCCAGGAGCAGTGCTCGCAGTTGGCTGGGGCGCTGGCGTCGGCCATGCCGCAGGCCATGCGGCAGCCCGCCCAGCGAGCAGGCGACGGCGCGGAGGAGGCCGTGCCCGACACCCCGATCTCCGTGCCTGGCACCCCCGCGCCGCAAACGCAGCAGCAGCTCGACGAGGTCATCGCCAAGGCCTCCGAGGAGCAGCTGCGAGCGCACCTGGGGCCTCTGCTGGGTGATGCTTGTCCTGCTGATCTGCCTAGGCTGCGTGACGCGGCCAACCGGGTTGCAGACTTGTCGCTGCATTTCATTCCACCCGCGGCCAAGAAGGGGAAGACCGCAGAAGATGATGAGTTGTGAGCTCGCATGTAATGCTTGGGAGATGTGTGATCAAATGTTGGAAGCAATGGCGACGAGCATGACGGGCGAAATGGTATCGGTGAATGCTGGCGGAGCCGCTCCGCTCAAAGCGTTCTTGGAGAATTGCTCTGCGCAGATTCTGAGTGGGCAGGAGCATAAGACAATGAAGGAGGACCTACCGTCCTTCCAGCGTCACTTGAAGGATTTGGGATATCATGGTACCTGCGAGGGTGCCAACAGGACTGACTCCGATGGGAAGTCGGGAGGCGTGGCGATCCTGACGCAGAGCCACATTGTCCTGAAGGCGCCTCCTTTGCTTCCCTGCCCCGTCCTGGAAGCTGGGAGGATTGTCGCTGCAGGTGTCGCATGGGGCGTTCCAGGAGGCCTGATTGTGATTGCAGTATACCTGGTGTCGGGCGTGGGCCTGTCTCCCGAGAACGAAGCGACGTTGCTGAAGATTGCGAACTATTGCGCGCAGTTGAAGGGCATAGGTAGAGATTGGGTGGTTCTGGGAGACTGGAACCTGACGCCCGACCAGATCAGCATACCTATTCGTGATGGAGTTGGGGGATACGTGCTTGCGCCTGACTCGCCGACTTGTGTGGCTGAGCTTCCTGGGTCGATTATTGATTTTGGTTTGGCATGCGTCAACCTATCCACGAGGTTGAGGAAGCCCAAGGTGATGGAGTCCTGAACGGTCAAGCGTCACAAGCTCGTGATTGTTCAGGTGTTGGCTAATGCTATGGATCGCTGGTGCAAAGTTGTTTGTGGGCCAGTACCTTTTTCCCAAGGCTCCGCCGATCGACTGTCCACGATTTCCTTTGGACTGGGACGCGTTGGAGAAGGCTATCTACTTTGCGGAGAATGAGACAGACATCAGTGCAGCTTGGGATATCATGATGGCCAACATCGAGTTAGAGCTGCAAGGTGTATATGGCATGTGCGAGGGACCCGAGGCAGTGGCCACATCTGGACGTGCGGGGCCAGTTGTGACCAAGCTTGTGCGTTCCAAATGGGCCCCTCCTCGGCGTAGATTGCAGCATGGGGATAAGTTGAGGGCCTACATGGTGGCGAACAGATGGTTCCAGCATTTTCTATGCATGAAAAAGTTCATATCCAAGGCCCTTGATAAGATCTTGATTTGGGAAGACATGGCACGAGTGGTCAGCAGCCAGGCCGACCTGTCACCGCTGGCGCGCTTTCTGGGAGAAGCTGTATTGTGCTATGCTAAGATGGGTAGCTGTGATAGCGTACACGCATTGCTTCCAGATTGGATGGTGGTATTCTTCGGAGGTCAGGGCAAAGGTGTTTCCTTGTTCGAGCGGTTGAGTAATGTTGAGCTGGACAGGAAGCGCCAGCAGGTGCGTGATGAGTATCTGAGGTGGCAGAATGAGCATGATAAGAATGAGCGTGCACGTTGGAGAGGATTTGTGGAGAAACGATTCCTTGGAGGTTGCCCGGGCGCACATTGGTTCTCAAGGGTCCAAGCCTCTCAGGAAATCGTCGGGTCGGGCAATGAGCTGTCGCCGCATCGGCTCGCTGGCAGGGAGCTCGACTTGTGGGCTAAAGTGTGGGGCGTCCACCAGGCCACGAAGTTGAAGTTGCCTGATGACGCCGAGGGCTGGGGCCCCCTACCGTGCATCACGGTGGACATGATGCGGGCGACGATCCTCAGCTTCGCATGGAAGACGGCAGCAGGGCCTAGTCGGTT